AAGAGTCTTATTATTTAGACATAAAGTCTAATATACTCAATCGAGATTTTTAATCTCGTATGTTATCTAGGCTATAAGCCTTTAATCGTCCCTTTTATTTTTAGAACATTATGTTCATCTCAAAAACAATTGCACAAGGGACAGCTATGGCAGAGCTGAGTATTTTAAGCATATCTCTCTTGATCGAGATCCGATTTTGATGATTCAAAATGTACCGAAAAGCCAACAGAAGATCTACAAGTTTTGTATTTTGCATTTTCTGAAATTCGGACATTATCAGGTCCAAAACAGACATCGAAGTACAAACTCGTGAATTGCACGAAAAATCACCTACAACAAATGTAAGATGGTTAATATTTTATCAATTCAAAACAAGAATAAAATATTTAAAATCAACTCCCTTTCATCTTCTATGGCTAAGGAGTCATCTTCCTTGGACCATCTTTACACGAAAATTTAAGTAGAACAATCGTGTTGAGAAACTAATAAAGAATATAGAAGAAGTAGTGAACAAAGTAGGGAGAATGTGTAATATCTTATTCCATCTCTTCAAGTGTACAAACACATTACATGGTGCTCTATATATAGCACTAGAAAAGACCTCTCAAAGGTCATGAGTTACAAGACCATAATAGAATCATCACTAGGTATTATGGTGTGATAATAGTGGGAGTGATGGTGATTGATGATGGTGAGTAATGGTGGTCATCCACTCCTTTAAGAATTCATAACAATTAGAGAATTGTAAGCATACTAATTACTTAGTGGGCAAATTGTAATATATTTAAACAAATCGTTATTATTTTTAATTTTAAAATTATAATGTATGTCTTCATTACATAAATATATAATTATTAAAAAATGAAACAATATATAAAAAGAAGAAGAAAACATATATTGTAACATTAAATGTTTTAATTTGTTTTGCATTTTTTGTTTATAGTTTTATAATTTTTTATTCAACAAATTGGTTGTACATATTTAGAATTTTTTTTTTTAATTTGTTTTGCATTTTTTGTTTATAGTTTTCTAATTTTTATTCAATAAATTGATTTTACATATTTTAAAGTATTATCGTATTTCTTATTTTAGGTTACAAATATTTCCCTTATTTTTTCATAAATTCTTAATAATATTTCAATGTTAAATAAATGAAATGCAAAAAAATATATAAAATATAAATAAAGCATTAAAAATAATAGAAAAAAATGCAAGCCAATTAGATCAGAAAAGTTATCACTTTTACTTCTTTTTTCTGAGGGATATTAGCGTAATTGTCAATATTATTTTATTCTTCAAAACTCAAAAGTAATACCGTAGGGCGTCTGTGTATCACGACAATATACCTCGGGGGGTTTATGTAACTAAGCAAACACGGGGACTTTTGTAATTAGACATTACTCAAGGGATGTATCATAATCTAAGCATCTTTATTTTTCAAATTAACAGAAGGGTAAAATAGACAAAACCGAAATTGTGAGATTTAAACAGTCAAACAATGGTCAAAGGGGAATTTTCGAAAATACACAAACATGAGGAGAATTTTTCTAATTAGGTTTCACCTTAGGGGAATTTTTGTAATTTGCCCTTCTTAAAATGAAGCGACTACAACACATCATTGTATGTCTAATAATAATAATCATAATAATAATAATCATAATGATAATAATTATAATAATCATAATCATAATAATCATAATCATAATAATAATAATAATAATAATAATAATAATAATAATAATAATAATAATAATAATAATCATAATAATAATAATAATAATAATAATAATAATAATAATAATAATAATAATAATAATAATAATAATAATAATAATAATAATAATAATAATAATAATAATAATAATAATAATAATAATAATAATAATAATAATAATAATAATAATAATAGTAATAATAATAATAGTAATAATAATAATAATAATAATAGTAATAGTAGTAATAGTAATAGTAGTAATAGTAATAATAGTAATAGTAATAGTAATAATAGTAATAATAGTAATAATAATAATA